CACTTCAGGATGAGGAGTCCGACCCGGCGTGAGAGGAAGATGATGATGCCCTCGGGCGACGGACTCGATGTATGGAAGTGGTTCCGAAGCGGAGGAGGAGGGAGGCCTCGGGAGCCCACCGGCGCCAGGGAGCTCCGCAACCACGGCGGAGTAAGAGGCTAAAGGGGGCCCACTGGGGACAGCGGTCAAGGTCTGGGGCGGAGAGGAGGAGTTAGCGGTAAACGCTAAGCATTATTGGTGAGGGGGTGTGCTAGCTGGTCTACAGCCGGGTAAACTAGCCACCCCAGGATGTCAGTTACCCTATAGAGATTGCTTTCAGTTTTGTTATCACTTTTCACTGGCTTGTTTTGTGTATTTGTTTGCAGGAGAGGTACGGGGATTTTGTGAGGAAATCCTTCTGGGGCGGACCAGGTACCTTGTGGATTGGCGGTTCTGGTTTTAAAACGGTCTGGTTTCAAAAAAAAAAAAAAAAAAAAAAAGAAGAAAAAGAATATGGTGTATCAAGCCACGCTGGGCACAATCCCAAGTCCCGCTTGGCCGAGTGCCACGGGGGCCTGGGAGTGTGCCCAGGGGGCTTGATTGAGCAGCTTGCGCGGGGCTCGGATCTTGGCACACAGCCAAGTCCCGCTTGGCCGACCCCAAGCGCTGGGCCGATGAGATCATCGACACACCCCGACCTCAACTCCTCATCTCGTCCGACACACCATCACCTCCTCATCTTGTCCGGCACACCATCACCTCATCATTTTGTCTGACACACCAACGAAAATGTAAGTGTTTTCTTTTCTTTACCTGGTATCCTTTTTATCTGCATACTTGACCGTTGTTTTTATTGACTTATCTTTTACTTTTTGCTTTTTTCCAGATGTCCGACTCTGCGGTGATGGACTCGACCGAGCTGGAGATCATCGAGGCGAATAAGAAAAGGTCGCAAGCGCTTGTTGAGGGAGCTTCGAGATCTGAACAAGGAGACAGCCCAAAAGGAAGCGATCATAAAAGCTAAAGGTAACATCGACCAAAGCTAGGGACCTATAAAGCGACCGACTTACTCACAAGGGAGCGCAAGGCAAACGCAATCATCAAGCCCGA